AGATCTCATGAACCTCATCAAAAGAATGTACCAAACCTGCAGAACTCTTTTCGTAAGGCCAGTCCTCTGTGCCAACTGTTTCAGATCTTTCGCATCTGGATTATGGTTCAAATTAAAGTAACTTTTCATCGTTCTCAGTTGATGATGCTTAAAACTTGTTCGCATTCGTTTCGACCTATTCGTTTGTATTAACGTCTCTTCATCACAGTATTCTGCAAAGCGGAAAATCATGTCAATGTGTTGCCACATTTTGAACGTATTGAAAAACAAAATGATATGAATTGTCCATACTTGCAACATATGATATGTAACTCAACTTGATAACTATCATTAGAACACCTCTTACAGAATTCATGCTTGATGCTTTTGACACAGACGAATTGAATCAGTTAAACTTCATGGTCTACAGGGATATAACATGAGTCATGAACTCCTCTCGGGATCTTATTACTGTTTTGAGCTTTTCCCCCATTAGTGGCCCCCTCTGCTTATGAATCTTATTCAGAATCCACATCTCGTCAGTATTTCATCCGTATCGCACAAAATTGACTCAACTCATGGATCATTGGTTGGTTCTAAGCATACGACAACTAGTGACGATTGTTGATAGAGAGAAGCATGAAGGCAGAGAGAAAATAAGTGTCCATGACGACAGCGAGGCACAGAGATATAAAGAGAATGGCGGTGATGCGTGCGTATCTATGAAAACAATTAACGAAAGGATACGGTAGGTGTTGAGTCATGGAAATCAGTGTAAACGAAGCTAATTTAGTATTGATCATAATATTATTAGATAGTAATGATAATATATAATAATATGCAATAATATTAATACATAATAATGTTCGTATGATACTTCTTCAGATCAAATGGAACTAATAACAGAGGAGCATTAATAATAATTATCATTAATGAGTTATAATTACAATAAAATAACCGATATTATCGGAAGTGTTTTCGCCGTCCTCAGATGTCTTCTTGCCTTTCTTACATCTTGTTTTGTTCACAGCTCCAGCATGTCCAAATCGATCATCAACCGATTCGGTATTCCTTATCAACGGATACTCAGATGCGGAGGCGTTGACTGATTCGTAATGAGCTGCAATTCACATCGGTAACTCTCAAGTGGTTCGAACGATGGTCTCATGAGATGGCAGTTTAGCTATCCGATCTCATTGTAATACTGCAAAATGTGAGAGTTATTCCTCAGTTTCCAAACTGCATAGTATTCTCACCGTATCATCAAATGAGCTTAATTGGGCGCCTCAAGCTTGACTAAATGCTTCCAATAGTAATATAGCAGTGCAAATTCTAATGCACAGGAGAGAACAATAGCAACTATAATGATAGTCATAATATAAGCAGAATGAATAATCATTACTTTGCTTTGAATGTTAGCTAGCAGGAAGAATATGAATTGATGGTTTCGCAAGCACAACAATGTTGATTATCGGAACACTTATAATTACTACAATTAGCATAATGATGTTCATAAAAATACTACTGATCTTCGCCGAATATATGATCGATCAATTTGATGAATGGTCGAAAATGAGCATTGGAGTTTTATTTGGTCAGTGAAACGCCTGAATGAATAATAATCAGCTTCAACTACCTTGACAATACAAGGTACCATGCTCGCCCATTGCGAATAATTCTCCAGGATGTAAGGGCGCAGCACAAACAATACATGTAAAACATTGCAAATGAAAGACGCAATCTTTTGCACGCATAACCACATCATCATACGATAGCATCGATGAGCATCGTTCACATCGCCTCGAATATTTCCTTCAATTTTCATTTCATTGTCAAATCCATTTATTTATTTGCCGAATATTGTTTTCGAAACTTCATTCATCATTTCAAATGAATCACGACTGAGTTTATTACTTGTTGATCGGTTGAATTCAGCAGCTGCGTT